GAGTTCCCTCTTAGTATTATCAACTTTAGCGTGCGGTTTGGTTCGCTCTTTCCTAATAGCATAGGAAATTCTTTCTGTATGAGCCAACTCCCAATTTCCCCAAAACTAATGGTTATTTCTCTTAATAAAGCTAACTAAAATGACGATTTTACTAAGTAAGAGGCTTCTGCAGAATTCAATAAACTGAATGAATCACAATAGTGTTTTCAAGTATATGCCAAATTGTCCAGGCAAATTTCATAATTAGCGTTGCATGGTCTTCGGCGGCTACTGTATATGTAAACTTTAAAAAATGATTATTTTCCAACGCTATTTGACTTTTCCTGCTATAATCACTCGGTGGTTTTTTATAAACAGGCATCCTCTGCAAGTAGAAATTAAGTTAACCTAGAACGCCCGATTTCCACTTTTTCGGAATTTTCCACTTTGCTAAAAAAGCTTGTGTTTCTATTAAACGTTATATTCCTTCAGAAATCACAACATGCTCTATTGTGAAGAACGACCATTAGTTTATTGTTGTAAGACTTTTGGGGCCGCAGCGTCGGTTACGTTTGAGTAACAGGGAGTTACTTGTGAAAATCCTTGGATTTCATGAGTTAGTTCACCTTCTGTACATATAAACATTTAAAGAGAAGCAATGCAATATTCATAACGTCATCGAAGGGACTTTGTTTCTTTATGAATTTAAAATACTAGATTTCCTGCACTCTTTTCACTTTTAACATGTGGAAGATTAGACCACCCACACTGCTGCTTCGGTCAATTACACGAGCTATGAAGGAAGCAGCAGCTGCAAAAGTAAAAAAACATAAATTCTGTCGCCCTCCTCAATGGATGATTGCAATAGCATTGCTGGTGGTCGACAAAGATGACAGGGTTCTTCTCGCTGTTCGAGGACGGACTTCTGAGCTTCCTCGGATCTCACCCGATCTGGTTTGTGACACTGCAAATGAAGGCATGCAGCCTGTTAGATTGTGACTAGACACGAGCGATAATGAGT